ATCTGAAAGAAAAATCAGTGACTTTCACATGTAACAGGTTCACGTTCTTCGTGAGCTACATTTGTTTTTTTTTTTTGTTTGTGCAATAAAATTAAAGGAAAACAGGCAAGTATTTAATGTTCGTTGGATTTTATAATTAGTGATGTTTTATTGCAGGTTTTGGCATTCTAGTTTATTATAGGGAAATTTGAATTATTTGAGGATTAAATGAGATCGTTTTAACAAGAAGAATGAAGGGTTGTATTTGAAAGTCCTTCAAATTTTAAAAAATCGTACAAACATTCATGATTGTTCTAAATTCTGTATACGTATCGGATGTGAACTGCAATGACATTCTCGATTGGAAAATTATTTTTCAAACGAAACATAAGTGACGGTAGCTTATCGAATCAACTTTAAAAATGAAATGTTTGTTTAGATCATGTACATCTTAAGGAAAGCAAAAACCGAATGCTGATAAGATTTTCGTCAAAGCCTAATTTTACACACGCGTAATTTTTATCAAAGTAGGAACCAAATTTCTGACATAATCTTGGTTTATCATAACTCATATATTCACGTTTAGAAAAATAATATTCACAGTATTGGTTGGGATCGATTTTGGTTTTAATTTCATTTCAGTATCTGATTGAATACCTCTCGAACGTCTCTTCAGGCTGCGTAATCATTCTTCACTTCGGCTTACACATTCATGTCATTGGAATTACTACTAATACGTTAATTACATTTTAATATATCACAGCACATATATAACTTAAACTCTGATAATGACTTTTCTTTCGACGCAAGGTCGAAATCATCCGCTGCCTGAAGGTGAATTCGAGCGGCCAGCTTGTTTGGTCAGTAATTTCTGTGGTTTCTCCTTACAACAGCAGGCGAAATCCTGAGTAGTACCCTAAAAAAGTAGCACAGTTCTGGCACGATATTTCCTCCCTCTGCCTTGTCCCTACCTCACCCTTTACTTACACTTACGTTACTTACCTTTACTTACACTACCACACATGTAGGGCGACCAGTCGGGAGTTTAGAGCTTGTCCTGGCATCTGCGGTGCACCGTTGGTGGGCGATACCTAGTTGGGGAAAATCCTTGTGTATCGACACCGGAACACGCCAGTAAGGGCACAAAGACCACCACCACGTCCCACGTCAAACACATGCACTACACTTACCGGTCTTATGACCTTGGAAGATGGCGTGCCCAGAACCATCAGAGATATTAGGAGGGAAGGAAATTTAATTTTAAGGTTCATTATATACACGTATTATTCAATTGCGATTTTAATTTTAAATTAAATTCATTTCAACATATATTAATAGACGTATTCTGTTTAGCGTGTGATGTTTATGAAATACCGTTTTTCTGCTTGCCAATAACTGTCAATGCATTTTTGCACACGTACAGGGATAATGAAGTACAATTCCAGCGTAAAAGATAAATAAACCTACGACGCGACTTGGCCGAGAGTGATCCGGCGGCTAGAAGCCCGTCCCGTCCCCCACCTCCCCCGGCGAGAAGCGGGTACTCCCCTCGCGCGTTTGAAGTGGCGTGGGGCCGGCCCGGCGCGGAGCGACAGCTCCTGGTAATCCCCGGGCGCAGGGCTGCCACCCTCTGAATAATTCGCAAGGGCGCACGTAATTGGCTCCGACAGAGCCACGGTAGGCCAAAAGGGGAGGAGGAGTAGGGTGGGCGGCGAGGAAGGGAGGAGAGGATTGAGCGAGCGCACGGACCGAGGGACGGGTGTCAGTACGTGAGGGTAGGACACAACGGATGGGATGGAGTTGGAGTGATTTTTTTCATGTGTCGATTGTTAGAAAGAGATGAGAATTTTGGTATTGTTGAGAAGTTGGAAACAATAGCTATGAAAGAATGGGGCTAGAAATAGGCCCAGTGATGAAAAAGAAGAACATGAAAAATAGGTGGTACTATGTTGTGGGGAAATTGTACTAGGTTGTTGGAGTAACTGGAAGAAAAACTAGGAACTTTACAATTGTTGGAATAGTCGCAAGAATTTGCATTGCAATTGAAATTTTAAAAAAACGGACCCCGGTTACAGACAGCGAAATTGTGAGAAAAAGAAAATATTAACTAGCTGAAGATAGAATGTAGAGTGAGAAACTCGGCAATGTGAAGCTCCCGCGAGCAGAAGTGTTAGTGGGGATAGTGGAATGGCTAGGAACGTAGCACGAACTTGCAATAAATGAAGCTTGTAGAAAAATGAAAATTGTAAATCACAAAGTCACTAAAATCAGAACATTCCCTATACACTATATAAAGAACAACAGCATAAATATATGGTACGAAAATACGCCGGAGTGCTACGCCGGAGTGTTACGCCGGAGTGTGGGATTTATTTGTTGAAAGAAGGAAAATTAAGACTTGGTAACTCTAAAGGTGTAGAAAGAATAAGACAACGATTCGATTTGCAGGCAGTGGCGAATCAATATAGTTTCCAGAAAGGTGTCAATTTAATATCAGATATCTTCAAACACGTTTTGTGAACAAAAAATTAAATCTATTTATTAGCCTGAAATAAAATGTATTCATTGGAATTATTTTGTGGACTATGACACTGTAACGTTTCTCCGAGGTGAATTAAAACCAGCACACGTAATATTTAAACAAAGAAGTTTATTCGTAACATTTATGCACTAAAATCTACTGACTTTAAAAACTACTTAGTCTATTTACAGATATATTACACTCAATTATTTTTCTTTACACACGACTCCGTTCTCTTGATTATTTATTTACTCCGTTCACATCTTACACACTATTTATTTACTCTGTTCTCTTCATCTACAGTATCACCCAGTCCGATGCTCTGTCCACGGTCCACTGCACTGCGCCCCAATTCCCTGCGCAGACCACACTTCACTGCGCACACCAGGGCCCACTGCACTGCTGTTTATCGCGATGCACTTCACAGATCAGCTTCCACTGCAGACTTCAAACTGCTGACTGCTGTTTCCCCACTGCTTTCCGCGATGCACCCTTCACAGCTCAGCTTCCACTGCAGACTTCAGACTGCTGACTGCTGTTCACCCACTGCACCACCGTTCACCGCAATGCACACTTCACAGTACAGCTTCCACTTCGGACACACTGACGGACTGACTGCTTCTCGGCTACTCACTGACTGCTACTTCTGACTACTCACTGACGTCTTACTACTCACTGACTCGCGGCCGCCGGCAGCGGCGCATTCATACCTGCCCGGCGCTCGTCTCCAGGCACCCGGCACATTCTCCGCGTTTCCCCGCGGCTCGCGAATGTCCGGAACCGTCTAGTTCGGGGGGAGGGCGCCGGCAGATGACGCAATCCACGCGCAGCGAATTCGGCAGGTGATGCAATATTCGTAACAATACGATCAGTATAGAGTATAATTTCAATAAAATAACAAGACACTTTGATTTGAAGGAAGGGTACGGTCGCATGCCACCTAGGAAACTGCCAGAATGGCTTGTGCGAATGTTTCAATAGCGCAGAGCAACGATAGGATTCATTTCGTGTCATTTTGTGAGTTTTGTCTGATCGTCATTTCGTGAGTAGAGTGAGATTTAGTGTTTTTCGAGCATGTTCTTTTGACATAGTTACGTGCATGTTGTAGCCTAATGAGGGTGGTGTTCCCATTTCCTAGAACGTAGATCCGCGCGCTGACACACATGTCACCTTGCGAGATATTCTCTCTCACTCTCTCTGTCTTTCTCTATTTGCGCGCTCTCTCTTTGTCTTCGCAATTTTAGGAAGACTTCGAAAAGTATTTGAACTGCTGATATTTTCAAAAGAGAATTTTCTACGAACATGTAACCTACACCATTCTCATAAATGACATTCACACTATCCAACCACAAAGTTTCATCAAAAACGTTGTGAGCCTTTTGTAAAGTATTCATGTAAAGTACCTTGTAATGTGAAGGTTCATTAAAGAACCCAAAATTAAAATTCGGTTTGAAAAACAAGGCCGCAGATCCAATCAGCCGGAGCGATGAAGTTTGAAGAAAATGGCGGATTCTGTGAACACGAATTTCCCGGTATCGTTGTTTACAGCACGGACAGTGAGACGTTTTGCCGTCATTACGATTTGCGTATTAATGGACTCACAAACATGATTCTGGCTACATCACATGTTAGAGGATTTTTTCTTGAATTTAGCCAACTGGATTTATCTCTGTTTCGTTACCAGAGCCTTGTAATAGAGTATTGCACCGACAATTCGCGTTTTTTTCGCGCAGCATTACATAACTTTCTCTTCTACTCTGGAACGAGAACGTAAATATTACGAGAAAGTAAAGACGAAATCAGATTCAGAGTAAATACGAATATATTTAAATATGCGAGCGCAAACCATGTCACACACAAAACTGAAAAGTATTTGTCTTTCGTATATCCGTAAGTTAACCGGATGCGTTGAGCCAGTGAAACGTTTGATATTGTACATTTTGCACTGCAGCGATGCTGATAGGATCTCCTAAAGATTTTGTGTCTTGTCAGGATTTTCTCCTCCGGCTACATAGATAGGACAAATTCAGTAACTGTCTGGACGAGTTATATCAAATAGCTGGTCTGATTGGTTGGTTCTGTGTTTTTCCGATTATTACCAGCAGTAGCTGTCACTGAAAGGACAATATTTCTTCTTATTATTCTTCGTATTATTATTTTATTATTATTATTATTATTATTATTATTATTATTATTATTGTTGTTGTTGTTGTTGTTGTTGTTGTTTTTCTCCTTTCTCTGTCCTTCACCCTTACATGCTCTACCAGACCCACACATGTCGGGAGACAACCGCCAGCGACGTGTTGCTCAGCGCCTGATCTCACATTAGCGTGGGAAGAAAGGCACCCACCCAAATGGAAAATGTCGGCCACTGCGCTTAATGACTTTGTAATTCAGGCGCCAGGATCGGAACTAATCAATCAAACTTGAACTTAATTTTAATTTTGTGAATATTAGAGAAAATTCGTTCGTAAACTGGATTTTTTTGCTGTGAACAGAGAACCCGCTGCACTGCGGGTGCGACCAGCAGGAGCTGTGGCAGTGGCTGCGCGCCCACCAGAAGGTGGTGGGGCTGGTGCGGGGCGGCAACGGGCGGGGCGGTGGGCGGGGGCTGCGCTGCGAGCACCCTCAGAGCTACGCGGACTGCTCTTCCTGGAGCTGGAGCCCCCGCGCTTCTGCTCGGCCGCCGCTCGTGCTCAAGCTGGCCATCCAGGACATCCAGCCTTCTCCGTGCTTCTCTCCTGGCAGAGCAGGAACTCCTCTGGCCTGCACGCCTACCGCGTCGCCTACCACGTGCTCGACAGGAACGATGCTGTAAGTAATTTCCGCGTTAGTGCATTTATTGCTGTCATTTTAACAGGAATTTCTGCACCTTATCATTATTGCATACAAACTTCATGGATACGTCTTCTGAACATACTCACAGTCATTTGACTGAAAGAAACAGTGTGTTAGAAACTGTGCCAATCTTGTGTGTGTGTGTGTGAAGGATTCAGACAGTTGGGACGTATTGAACAGGATACAATAATTTATTTGACAAGTAAAAAATACTGATTTCTAGTGTGGACTAGGCCCCAGGTATCAGCGTATGAATCCGTATCTAGTTCCTGGCAAGGTGTTGATTGAAGTGTTCTACTTGTGAGACATATTTTGACAGATTTATTTTTTCTCTCTCTAAGATTTGGATATTTCTTATCAATCTTACTTCTCAGCATTTTCTGCATAGAAATATTTCTAAGCACTTCATACAATTATCTAAAAAGATTTATAAACATTTTTGATAAAATTTTAATAATACGTTTTTTTGCATGTTATGTTATTATCAATCCTAAAATAAAATGAATAAATTTGCATACATGCATAATTATATTCACAATTGTGTTAAATTAAATATTCAGATAATTTGAATTTGTAAAGGTCAGCTTGAAAAAAGTGCTTTTGTTGTTGCCTTTTTTTTTTTTGGTAAATGTATACGTAAATATTTGTTGCTTTTCCCAGTTGGAAACTCTTAAGTTGTGAATTTACTATAATTAATTTTCATTCTGGAAATGATTGTGATGATAACATTTGCTATGCATTGCATGCCAGAGTGTTATAATAGACTCGTGGATTAGAATTGCAGACGACTTTTGCTTTCACTCTAAAGATAAGATGATCATTAAATGCATTTTTGTGATACTTTGCCGAAAATTCAAGTACATTGCCTCAAGTAAGTAAATATTTGCATGAAAAACTAGCTAAGCCTCTTATTGCGCCCTTTCAAAGAATATATGTCGAACAAACCCGTGCATTTGCTGTATCGCATTGACATTGACATAGGTAAAATGGTGGATGGCTGCTAGTGCCGTGTATAATGAGCGCAAGATTCCTTGATATTCCACAGTGAGGGGTGCGGGGAGATGAGGGCTCTGGCTACGTCACGTCTTAAAAGGGTGTACCAACTTTGTACTAAAGCGCCAAAGCGTGCCAAGAGAAGTGCAACAATTGTTTTGAAAGTGCGAGGTGGTTGTTGCCAGCATTTAAAATTGGTACGTGCTATTCCGAGTCGAACCTAAGTATCTCAACGGGCCGTGCTATTCAGCGCTGGATGAGGGCAAGAGAGCACCTGTATCAAGAAAACTTGTGCGAGTAATATGTATGAAGCTCTGCGGAAACAAGTGATTAGATGTGTTAACCTGATAGAACTATTGCAGAAAGTAACCAGGATCAAGTCAAGTAAGTGTCTCCGTACAGTGCAGTTAGTGTTACATTTGACAATAGCGTAATTTTGGCAACAGGAAAACTTATCATATACTTCAGACAAAAAGTGGAGTTTGGTTACTTCCCTCGCCACAGACCCTTTAGTTCGAACGTCGATTTGAGGGCCAAGAGACAGCTGTGATTGAGATAACTTTAAAATACTGTTAAACTTCAGACAAAATATGAGATGGTGTTACTACTCTCATCACAGAATCTTTATTAATCTGAGAGTGAAGAGACATCTAGTACTGTTTTTTACAACTTTTTCGAAAGATGCTTACGTGAAATTTAGGTAACTGTTATTTTGTGTTAAAACCTGTATTTATCTCAGATAATATTGGCGCCGTAAAACTAACTTTTAGAAACGCGAATTCAAAAATGCCAGTAAAAAAGAGCAATCTTGAACGCACGGAAATATATTGCAGAGAATATTGAATGAATTAAAAGAAATTAGAAAGGAGGCATCAAATTTTCCAGAAAACCTGAAGACAGAAATTTCTGAGATGAATATAAGACTCAAGCAACTGGAAGAGACTTCACTCCAAAATAAAAATGGAGTGGAACAACAAATTGTTAAAATAGATGAAAAATATGATGAGAGAACAAAAAGTGCTGAACCAAGACTAAAATTAATAGAAGAAGGGATTGAAAGAAATATTAGACTAGAAAAGAAAACCAATTTCGTAATAAATAACAAGCTAATAGATCCCAAGACAAAGCAAAAACTGTAAACATTAGTAAAAGTGTCCTGCAACAGATTAGATTACTGGAGAATTGTCAAGAAGCATTTCCCTTAGGCAAAAACAGCAAGGGTAGAGGAATAATTAATGTGAAAATGGCTTCATTTGAGAAAAAGAAAGGTGAAAAGTTAAAAGGCTCTGATAACTACATAGACAATGATAGGACCAAACAAGAGAGGGAAATTCAATCTGCAATCAGAACAAAAGCAAACAAAGAGCGCAAAAAAGGGACTCTGTGAATATCGGATATCTTAAGATCATGATCAATGATAAGTGGGAAATCTGGATGGATCGAACAGGGACAGAAGATTCTTAGATGATAAAGAACATCTCAGAAATTTTGGAAGTATAAAAGGGGCTATATAAACAAAGGAAAGGAAAACGCGTTGACCTGTAAAAATATAGATGCAAAAACAACAGAAAAGGAATTTTTAATGGTTCCAAAACAACGTAAATTCAAGCAAAAGTACGTTTGAAGATGAAAATCGGAAGCCACGGATGTGTCTTGAAAGAATTCTGATAAGCAGTCTAAATGTACGTACTTTAAGAACCCAAGGTAGACTTGTGGAATTGCAAGAATCTATCTATATATATGCTATCAGTAGAAGTTGATATTCTGTGATTACGCGAAGCACGGCGCCAAGAATCGACAACAGTGGAATTGCAATACCGAAAACTATTTAGTTTTTTCTGGAGGAACACGCAATGAGAAAGGAGTTGGCTTGATATTCTGTAGTAGAATTATGGAAAATATAACAGTACGCACCAACAGTTACGCACCAACTTCAACGTGTACGGAGGACGAAATAAAAACATTCTGCCACGAGTTAGACGAGGCTTTAGAGCGACATACTTCAAAAATAAATTTTGTGATCGAGGACTTCCATAGTAAAATTGGCCGCAAAAAATATGGAGAGAAATGTATGTAGATTCTTATGGTTATGACGAAAGAAATGACGGTGAAAAGAGGTGCACTATTGATGAGATTCACTCGGTCACAATATGAGAACATCAAATACATTTTTCGCAAAAGTTGTAGGAACAAATGGACGTGGAGCAGTGCGGAAGGGAAAATAAAAAATTAAATCTACTTTATTCTCTGTGATTCTTTATATCCTTTATCAGATGTTAGGGTGAGTTGGTACTTAAATTTTGATATCGACCACCGCATGGTTCGCGTGGAAATGGAAATAGTGAACCAAAAAATACGAAACAGATTGCACAAAATGAGATTACCAAAATCTAATCTTATGTATGTGTCCAAATACAAGTCAATTCTTTCTAATAATCTCCACATAATTCAATGGTCAGAAACATAAAGTGTACAAACCCAATATTCTATACTTGAAGAATGTATAAAATCGTCTGCGAAAATGTATTCTTTCACAAACAAAACAAGAAAAAAACTGAACAAATTAAGTGAGGACACAAAAAATTACTAGATCTTCGTCAAGAACTAAAGCTAAACAAAGATAAAAACACGGCACTACAAACCGAATACAAAGAAAACAGTAAGGTTACGAAAAGAAACATTAAGCGTGACCATGAAACATCAAGAGACCTTAGTGAAAAACATAATGTGCACAATCAAACCCCTGAAACGAATTAAAATGTCACAGAGATTGGCTAAAAAATGAATCCCATTGCTAACAAGGACTGATGGCACTGTGGCTACATCAAGATGTAAAATCAACCGAAGAAACAACGGTAGAAACAACTACACAATTCTACGAAAATCTTTACAGAAGCGACACGATAAAATGCCATGCACTAATCGAAGACTTCGTGTGAACTTTGAAACACAATTCGCATTTCCCAGAAATCTTACCTAGTGAAGTCTGACATATTTTGAAACAGATGCGCTCATTTAAATGTCCTGGAGAAGATCGTATAATAAATGAATATATGAAATTTGGAATTGAAGAACACTTCCACTAACAATTATTTTCTACAATGTGCTGCAAGAAGAAGAATTACCCTAAGAATGCAAATCGAATACCATAGAGAGTTGGTGCGTGGTCTTTACTTTCGAATTTCTTAACGTGCTCAGGGCTTTCGTAGGAAGGCGAAATCTGGGATTCGAACTCCGATAATATATTCTAATCGGTCCGGAGAAAACTATTTTGTTACGGATTGTAATTAGTACTTATTTGCGTCAGAATTTGGAGTAGATTATTAGTCGTTATGGCTGCATGTTTAGGAGGTATGGTCGTCTTTACCTGCACAGGACGTTCCTTCGAGCGGCATTGCGGGATTCGAACCCGCGTAATTGAGATTAACCGGCTCGCGGCAATTTTTTTATTACAGTTTTTATTTAGCACTTAATTACGGCAAATTCTGGCCTAGAGTATTAATTGTTATGGCTGATGGTTTAGGAAGAACGGGCGTCTTTACATGTGCAGAGCTCTTGTAAGAGGGTAAACTCTGGGATTCGAATCCGGGTAGTTGAGTCAAATCGGTCCGAGGCAAAAAGCTTTGTTTAGAGATTATGTTTAGCACTGGTTTACGGCAAATTTTGGCGAAGAGTATGAATTGTTATTGCTGATGAATTACAGGGGACGTCTCATTTCTACTTCGAATGCGCTAGCAAGAGGAGCGTAGCTTTCATTTTTTTGTTACTATTTTTTGAAAGAATGGAGATATCAATTTGATTTCTTCACTAATCGTTTATAAATAAAAAGCAGCAAATTTGGAGTACAGTTTGTGTATATACTTGCAATAGTGGCGTATTTAGAGGTGTCGTCCTGCTTACTTCCATTGGAAGTGTAATAATAATAATAATAATAATAATAATAATAATAATAATAATAATAATAATAATAATAATGATAATAATAATATTTATGATAACTGAATGTTTTTCTTCTTATTAATATGTGTGGAGTTTAAATTACTATCGAAACACTTATAAATGAATGCGTTTGTGAAGCAAATTGTGAAAACGCATGGCATCCAATTTGTAAAACATCGATTTTGCTGTTTTCGGTTTTCTGTTGAACTACTTCTTTTTGAAATTTTAATATTGGTATTGAGCATGATTGTACGATCTTGTAGTGGAATGTAAAACAAAATAAATGGCACGGAGATTTTTTAACATTACGATTGCCTTTCGCATGACTAATTTGATTCGATGGGAACTTGCATAAGCAGTTGGCGCCGAACTGTGAAGTAGCATGATGCGCTGCGGTGTTGTAGTGCTGGTAGTGAATGTCTCGTGCACCTGCATGGCCGGAGGTACGCGAGCGTGGGTCGGACGCCTCTCCCGCACGACGCGTCCTCTTGCGCAGGTGCGCGGGAAGCTGCTGGACCGGGGCTCCCGGTCGGTGAAGCTGCGCGGGCTGTCGCCCAACACGCGCTACCGCATTTGCGTGGTGGGACTGGGCAGCTGGGGCGCGGACGACCCGCTGCCGGGCCTCCCGCCCGCGCTCAACGCCTCCACCCCCGCCCTCGCCCCGGGGCGGGCGTCCGCCCTGCTGGCCGACTCTCCCACCACGCGCTGCACTGAAGTGCGCACGCTGGAGGCGACCGACGCGCTCCTGGCGTCGCCCGGAGGAGGCGGCGGCGGTGGCAGCGTGCACGGCGGGGTGGGGCCGGACGGCGAGGACGAGCTGCTGGAGCGGGAGGCGGACGCGAGCGGCGCGGGCGGCGGGGGCGGCGGCTCGCTGCTTACGCGTCGCCTGGGGCTCATCGTGGGCTCCTGCATGGGCTTCGTCGTGTTCGTGGTGCTGGTGTCGGTGCTGGGCTACTTCAAGCTCACCAAGCAGCGGCAGCAGACGAAGCGGGAGCAGCCCATAGCGCAGGAGTACATATCGTACAGGCACTTCTCCATCCAGAGCGGAGACGCGGGCCTGGGCGCTGGGCCCGTCACTCTGGGCACAACCTCGCTCGACGCGTAGGAGCCGTCGCAGCCGCCGCCGCCGCCACCGTCGTCGCAGCAGCCCGCGTCGCGCGTCGGGTGGAGTGTGAAGGAGATCGGGGACGACGCCGACCCGCGCGCCTTCCACTGAGGCGACCCGCCTCCTTGCACACGTCGCCCTTGCGCGCGACGCGGGCGGTTCCTGCGGGCGCCTTCGTCGGCCTCGCGCGACGCAGCTCGAGGCGACGCGTGGCCCACGGAGGGGCTCTCCAACCCCATGGGTACTTTACCCAAGTTTTCGATTACTGATACAGCTTTTTTGGCTAGTCTTTTTGGGCTGTTCGTAATCGCGACAGTTATCGATTTCTGAATGATCCATTTTCATCACTGTAGAATGTTCATATTCGCGATGTGTATAGTATCCGAATGAACTTTAGAGTGTCTATAATATACACCCAATGGACGTTGGGAGGGTCCCTTCTGACACCGCTCCATTATGGTTCTAATTGGCAACGGACGTTTGGTTTTCGTGTACGTAGTAGTTATTAGTAGTAGTAATTTTGCGACTCACTTTTGGAATGGTCTCTCAATTATGTACAGTCGAAATGTAATGCCATTACGGATTTTTGTAACGTAAGGCTCCGTGTGTAAATTAAAACGTTTGTGTTGCACATAGCGCCTAATGGAGAGGCGAGACTCTTCATTCTAGACATATGAAACGTCCTAATAGGATCATTCCATCTTGCAAAGAATGAAAGGCAGAAATGGAACTTTCGCGACCAATGTCGATAATGAAACGATTGCAGCCTCGAAGAATATCACCTCAAACCACCACGCACTCACAAACCGCGCGTTAAGCAAGAAGAAGAACCCTGGTGGCCGTGGTGTGCCGGTGTTCTCGCTCGTTTTCAGAGTAGCCTACTGACGTTGCAACGAACACGCCCGGCGCGTGAGTGCAGAGCGCGTGTCTTCAGCATGTTCGTTAAGTGTCACATAGCTATACCTTGCACCGCCCTCACCCCCGAAGGGCTCCGAGCCGACAATCCGCCCGTCTGTTAGGCGGGCGCCCGGAAACGTAGAACCGGAAGCGTAGAACCAAGCTGATTTTGGAGCACATCTCCACCGGAGGCGCTGCCTCTCTTTCACGTTTTGTATCACGTAGAGGAAATTAAAAACAAACATCCGCGTACGCGTCGGAAAAAATCACTGTATAATATTTCTGGATGCTCAAACTGCCACGTAAGAATTTTTTTGGATCAAATCTTTTGTAAAAATATATGAGATAAGAGGATGATATTTGTTTTTTTGGAAAACTGGAGTGAACTTCGCGAGCTCAAAACTACTAATGGATTTTGGAAGAGTGTGAATGTATGAAGGGAGTTGTAAAGAAAGTGTGTATCTGAGAGGTTAATAATATAGTTTAGTATTCCATTATTTATATTCAAGTATCTCAAATCATGTTTTGAAATTAACCATGAGTATGCCATAATTTTACTTAACATGTGTATGCCATATTAATTTTTTATCAACACTCGCCAGTTCGTACTTGATTACTTAATTGCATTATGTTATTATGGGTATTGCGAGCAGAAAATTCTTGAGTTAGATTAGAATAGGGGGTAGGTAAAGTTGCGTGACGTGAATGTGTCGTAAGTGACTTATAAATATGAGAGAAATAAGCATTTCTGTACAATATTCGTAAATTGTAAGACATTTTGAAGTAACAACTAGGGTATTTAAGGGAATTCTCTGGTGAATTTCAAATGCCACATTTGGTAGAAAAGTTATTTTTTCTTCTCCGTAAAGATGTCACAATTTTTTTCTGTAGAGTTATGGTGTTTAACTTAACACTGTTTATTAAATCTTCATTGTAAGATTTTGGGCACGGCAAGTACACTCCAATTTGTAAAAATATACTCTGAATTATATTGATAGATCGAGAGTAAAAATTGTTGTTATAGAACAGTGATTTATATAGATATTGTAAATTTGAATTATCAGTCCCAGAAACATGGGATGTGATAATAGTTAACTATATTGATGGATTCCAAAATAAATGACATGATACGTATGTACAGTGAACTATTTCAATTCTGTATAGATCCTTCCTTTTTCAAGGCTTCCTTTATATCTACTGAAACAAAATACATTATATGACATGATTTGAGTAAACCTGTAAAGTAAAAAACGGTGACGTCACTGACATCTACAAGAAAAGTAAGAAAACAAAGCACACGTTACTAGCGAAACAACTTTAATTTCACTATTATTAAACTCTTCCCAATGTTACCTTATAATTAACTATTAAAACATTATGTACATGAAACTCGAAACAACTCTCTTAGATGTATGTTATTTTTTGTAAATACCTTAATTTTGGAAACAAGTTAGATATTATAGCGTTGTAGATTCGAACAACTCCTGAAGATGCATGTATTGCTTTAAATCTTATTTAATTCAGTAATTATAACCCCAATGTTCATGTCATACTATTAAAACGTGTGTGAAACAACAATACCTTACTGTTGGGGCACCCTAACAGGCCGCATTATATGCCCAATATGGCGGTGTTTACAGCTATCTCTCAGTACTGCTAACTTGTGACCCGATGGGCTTCAACCCGGCACTCGATATTCAAAGAGACCGATTTTCAAAACGCATTACACTGCGGGATTAAAGAATTTTTTTTCCTCATTTATTTTTTTAAATTTTTAGGTTTCGAGCTCAAGAAATAATCGTAAGTAATCAGTTCCCAACAAATTATATGTATTTAACACTTAACGTATATTATTATTATTTAGAATAAATTCAATAATTATACAGAATTCTAAGAAAATAAATAATATATCCTGAAAATCCCTGATGTTTCACGAATAGTTGCAATACAAACGTTTATTAGCACAACGTTTCGTAAAACAGTGTTTTCTCTCTTCAGGTACTATAAATAGTTACAAGAAATATTTTTAAATGGCAATAACAAATATAAATGCAAGAAGAACTTAATATTATTATCCAATCAAACTATTATGTGTCAACATAAGAAATTCATTGTATCACACTAATTTCAAAATTTATCAAAAATCAAAATTTTAATTTAAAAGTTATGATTGCTAAGCATTTTAAAATAAATTTAAATTTAAGAGGATATAGTTTAAAAACATATTGTTTTGGATAACAGTCACATGTAACTTACCTATCAATTGTATAAAACCTGATTTCACTTATTCGAATTCAACAATTCACATCTGTTTTTAATCTTAAAAAAATTATATATTACAATATGGCTAAAATAATTAAATATATTGCAAATAATACTGATTCATTACGAAAGCTTCAGAAACTTTTAAAAATAAAATAATTTATTTCAAGCTTCAGACACCAAGAAATGGATAAGAAACGCATTTCACTATTTTTATTCAATAAACGTTTTGTGATACACCGCCCTGATCGAGGCATTTTGTATGTATAGTTAAACACTATTGGTTTTAATTTTACGAGTGGAATAGTCATTGTAAATCTCACCTGAGCTGAAAGGGGCAGAATGCAACTCGCCGTTAACCTTCATAGTTACAGCGGCATCTGTACACATGGTGGCTGCTGGCCTAAATAATTAAAGTTGTTTACTTGTTCAATACTTTTTTCGTTTATTACTACTTTACATTTGATATGGTTTTTCCCATGGAATGCCATTGTTTTCGTTTTAGAGGTTGATATCTTCAAGTTATAATTTTTCCTGTTAACTCGAGGTAATGGGCAGCTCTCTGTAGGTCGTCTTCTGAAGTACTAAAAATGACCTGGTCATCTGCAAATAGAGTAGTGTTTAAAATTGTATTGCTTATTTTAAAATGTGTGGTTAATTTACTTTGCCATTCTTGAATAATATGATATATATATATATATATATATATATATATTATATATATATATATATATATATATATATATATATATATATATATATATATATATTAAAAAGGATCGGGGACATCGGGCACCCTTGTTTGACTCCTTGGTTTGTATATTTCAGTTAGGTCGTTCGCTGTTCCTTTGTCAATACTGATAGTGGTTTTAAAATATAAGCTTTTTGATGGTTTGTATGATGTGGTTAGGGTATCCACTATTACGCATAATACTCCATAACTTATTCCGAGAGACTTTGTCAAGGCCTTTTCAAAATCTATGAAGCAGGATATAGGTAGGAGGTTATATTCACGTCTTTTCCTCGATCAATTGTTGTACAATAAGTATGCTATCTGCGCAATGAAACGTCCCTTTTCGGAATCCATTTTGGAATTTCGATAGTAGGTTATTACTTATTTTATTTACTCTCCTAGTAATTATCTTAGCATAGATTTTGTAGACAGAGTTTAATAGACCTAATTCCTCTAATTGCTACTATCTTGTCCTATTTCCTTTCTTTAATATTGGGTGTATAATGACTTTCTTCCATTCTTCTGGGATTTGATATGTATTCCAACATATATTCTAGTTCATAAAAGAGAAACCTTAGTTTGATTTGTGAAGGTGCATACTTGAATAATTCTATATTCTGTCCATCACTACCTGGAGATTTCTGTTCTTTAAATTTATAAGTATCTCTTCGAGTTCTTCATTTCTAATGGTCCACGTTTGCAAATTCGTTTTCTGCGAGTTTTTCTTCTTGTGTGTTTGAAGTCCACAATTCCTTATAGTATCTCAGCCATTTGCTTTTAAGGTATATTATTTACTTTGTACAGCGTCTTTTTCGTCTTTATTTAGGTGTTTAGAATTTTGTACGCTTTATTTTGGGCTCCATGTATATCATATTCGATTTCACTTATGTATCTCATCCCATCTTTCTCTCTATTTATCTTTTCGAACTTCTCTTTAACTAATGCACATTTATGCTATACCGTTATCCTATCTTCTACGGATTGTGTTTGCAAGTACTTTAGATAAGCCCTTTTCTTATCTTCAATGATGGTTTTTATCTCATCATTCCATATTCGTATCCCTTTCTTTTTACGATCTTCTACTTTTCCCCAAAACTTCTGTTGCTACTTTTATCATCAATTGCTTTAAGTCTTCCCATTCTTCATTTACATTTAAACTTACTGCTCTTTGATCTAAGTAGTTGTGCAGTCTTGTGCGATATAATTTCCTTATACTGTCTTGTTGTAGCAAGTGTGTTTTGAAAGTATAATTTGTCAGTTTTGGTTTTGTTCCGTTCTCTTTCTTATCCATCTTGCGGGATATTTATTTTAGTGCCTACTATATATGTGGTCTGTGAATACATCAAAACCTCTATATGCTCGTGTATCAGTAACTAGGGATGTCAACTTAGAGTTAACTAATACATAATCAATTATGGATTTTGTTCTTCTCGCCGCCCATGTGTATTTGTGGATTTCTCTGTGGTTGAAGAAGCTGTTTGTAATTTAGTTCGTTAAATGTTGCAAAATTAATTAAGGTCTTTCCGTTTTCATTTTTGTGTCTTCTCCATTGGTTCCCACTATTGTTTCAATTGGTTGGTTTCCAATCCTTGCGTTGAAATCTCCCGCAATAACTATATAATCGTTCTTATTTATGGAATTCATGTGTTTTTGTAAAGTATCATAGAATAATGTGCTTTCTTCTTTCCTTCCCTCTTCTGGTGCGTATATTCCAATATTGTCATGTATCCTCTTTGGATTTTTATTCTAATATTAATTATTCTCTCTGAAATGTAGTTATAATTATTAATTTTGTTTTTCCATTCCTTTTTTATCAGTATTGCTACTCCTGCAGCTGCTCTAATGTTTTGTGGAACTTCACTGTAAAACATCAGGTAGTTTCCCAGTTCCTTAGAGCCTTTCATCTTTTTCTTGGTTTCTGTTACAACGCATAGGTCTGCTCAAAATCTTTCGAGTTCGGTTATTAGTTGGATTTCTTTGTTTATCAAACTCTAACATTCCAGGTTGTGATTTTCAGTTTTCCGTTTTCTTAGATCGTTTATACTTTTTCGTAGCATTGTTATCTTCATTTACAGTCCGGCTATTCTCTTGAGAGTTGTCAGTAAGGCAAAATGTCCCCTGGTTGCGTTACGGGCGGCACGCAGGGATAGTTGGTGGTGGGGCTGCCACCTTACTGCCTCCAACTTGCAGGGCAGATTTTTTCGCGGTTGGCTCTCCGGAGACGCATTGCCTTCTCTACGGCTTTTGAGCTGCGTCTGCCAGTGGAGGATTTTTTCTTGGTGTTGAGGTTCTCTTCTGAGTACTTCTTCGCGACCCCTCTCCTTCGACTGACGAGGCAAGGGTGGCCCTGCCAGTAGCTACGCTACCGCCGGCCGTAGCTCTCAGAGGCATTGGGGTACGGCAAGCTCCACCACCAACGACAAGGTCAGTACTCCCTATCTATCTATCTATCTATGCTATCTATCTATCTATCTAATATATATATATATTATAAATATATATATATATATATATAATAGTGACGTACCGTGGGAAGCGGGGACTTTTCACGACAATAAAATTATGCAAGGGACAGGTGCTTTTTCGTAATGGTGTCTGGAAATTTGGCGCAACATAGGAATACAATTGTATTAAAACTCTTTTATACATTCTAAACGTTTTAATAACCAAAGAATTCACCTTATAAATAATATTTACAAAACAGTAATGCTTAGGCCTTGAAAACAAGCGCGCCGATCGACTCCAAGGTACATACTACCTTGACCTTTAAAACGCCATCTGCTCCCTCTGGATGCGTCTGGGGCCGTCGTTGCAACGGCGGCGGTGGCTTCGGCTAGCTTCAGTTCACCCCGCAGCCCGTCAGGGATTCGCCCTCCTTCGGCGACCAGCTCCTCTGGCCCAACGTAACGGCTGATGATTTCGCCGGGGTCCGCCCCAGCCGGTGTGGACAATGTCTCACAAATGCGGGAACGAACGACATGTGGTTAATGTCGTCGATTATGCTAATCCTTTCAGTGACCTTTCTCGGCTTCGCGCTTTGTCTGTTCGGCTCTGTCCACTATTATGTTGTTCCGGTGCGGGATCCCGACACTAGCCCACCGGCCACGCGATTTACTATCTTATTAGTCTTTCTCAATTATGATGCCCAATTTCACTTCCGCTTATCATTTAACCATCAATCCTTGGCGAACTTGATTCTACAATCGGCGGCCTCACTTATTCCAAACCGCATTTAATAGCTACAGGAAATCTCTTGGGCGCATCACAGCCCCGTCCGTACTCCACTGAATGCCTCTCTGCACACTACTAACCGTCGCTCGCCTCGCCGTTTCCCCCGATTTGACCGTTGGTGGCGGCGGCGGCGTTACTGCGCTGATCAACGCAAATGTTTTGTTTTAATTTAGAATTTATGATTATTTTAATAGTTCTTATTATAGAAACGTTCTTCGTTTCAATATATAAGAAAGTTCCCAAACCCGGTCCCGGTTCCTAACGCGAGCCCCTTGATTTGCTGCTCTATGGAGTGTTGTTGCCTATTG